CCGTCTAGTTAACTACTTCCTTATTGCATTTCTGGAGCATCAAGTAATAGAATGATGAAGAAATCTCTTCTAAATTAGACTGAGTAAAACAATCTTCTTGTGATTAACAACGTCATGTTTTTACACTTTAATCCCATACGAAGTGCTCTGATGACACGTACTTTACTTTTGTCAATAATGTACCTCATTTGGATATTCTTACTGGATCTTTGTTAAATGCTAATGTTTTGTTGCTCGGTAAAATCAAACAATTTCTTATCCATTTTTTCATTGTTAATATTAAATTTAAGGTATTGTCGGTTGAACAATTACAATACTTTATATATTTGTGGTACTCATGAATATAGCACAGAAACTGAAACAAAAGCATTGAAACCGAAATATACACTACGAGAAACTTGTGATAAATATTTTGATTTATATAAAAAAATTTATAGATAGCTTCAATAATAACGTTGAACAATTATATTGTGATACCTGTCAACGGTACAGAATTTGTTTGCGTATTTTTTTTTCTAATTTTTTATACATTCATGTATTTGAAGTTTTCTGACAGATCGTTATATAGTTGGTACATGTTCAGATGAAGCATACAAATTTGATGATACTCGTAGTGACCAACATGATAAGTGTGCAAAATTAACTAATGGTGTTAAATGTATTGATACAAAATGTCAAATTTGTCATAGTATACTATCAATTAGAAAATCCGAACATTTATTTCATGTCGATTAGAAAGATTTTAAGAATGAAAGAAAATTGTCAATTTACACATGTTGATCCTAGTCTTCAATAATTTATCCAAGACTACATAGTATAGAGAAGAGTGGCGTCTAGATTCGAACCTACTAGCTCTCACATACATGATGGCATTCATAGTCACTGATCCATGGTGGCTACTCTAGACATGAGCAGTGCCATGTCTAGACTCTTATAGAGATAATCCGTTCCATTCTACTGCATTTCCAATTATTAAATATTTGAATTTTCAAACTCAACGCGGAAATAAACAAGATTCTCTTCATTCTTACTTGGATGTCATAATAATCTATAGTTTTAATGACAAGATGGTCGGAAAAATCACAACTAACTACAGGTTCTATATGTTCGAAATGAACACTTTCAATTTATTAAGTATATTTTGATCAATTCAATTAAAATCTTCTTTGTTTAACATTGATTGTAAACCAGTTAATTTAGTAAGTTCACGAAATTCTTTTATAGTAAATGACAATATCTGGATTAATCTACATCGATCAACAAGTATCATATGTCGTATTCGACTTTGACGAAGTGTATCAAGTACTATGATACCAGTAATACTTGTTTTAGCTAAATCTTCGATTGATAAAAGAAGAATTTTGAGTACAATCAAGTTATACTCGAAATTGAGCATTTTCTAGTACACTTGTTTGAAAAATATTTTTTTTAATAATGGATTAAAAAATATTTTGTTTTTCATTTTACTGTTATACAATCCAACACAATCTTTAGTAGAAAAAAAAATACTTTCTAATGTTTTCTCACCAAGAATCTTAAAACTACGTTCAATAGATAAACTATAAGCAAATATTATAATAAAATTCTTGTAGTTCTTTCACATGTTCATGTTTCACTACAGTTGTAAGTATTCGTATAATATTTTTTACCTCTTAATGATCAGGTGCAAGAAAAAAATGAAGATAACTTTTCAATCATATCAATTGTTGCTAGCATTGTGTGATGAAGTGTAAGTAAAAAATCAGATGGACCACTACCTACGATACAAATGCGTATGAGTGATGAAAGTAATATAGAATTGTTAGTAACTATTGAAAGTGATCGTCGAATAAGACAATATACGAAACTACGTTCAATAACATGAGTAAACATTGACAAGATATTAAAGATACGTCTAGAATATAATATGGAACGTAATTTCTATAAAAATTTTCAATGTTTCACTTATAAATATTCGTTCTTAAGACTAAACATAAATTTTCAGAATAAATACTCATTCTCAAATTTCCTAGTAAAGTTCTTATGACTCTCGTTTATAGTTTATGGGATAAGAAAAAAAACTTCTTGAATATTTAAATTCGAAGAAGAATGAATATAAAATATAGCAATTGTCAAGATATTAAAGAATGAGCCTTCTCTCACTTACAACATTAATTACAAGTATAAAATAAAAATTTTGCATACAATT